TGGCGCTGCATGAGGTGAGCTCGCTGCCAGCCGGGCGTGAGGTGTACGTACAGGTCGGCGGTATCTTCCTCCTTGCTGATGCAGCAACAGCTAAGAAAAGAATTACAAAGCAGCAACAGCAGCAGCAGCAGCAGCAGCAGCAAGAGAAGCAACAGTAACGGAACTGCTGGATACAGAGGCAGGCAGCAACAGCAGCCTCTGCAGCAGCAGCACCTGCAACAGCAGCAACTGCAGCAGCAGCAATTGCAGCAGCACCAACAGCAGCAGCCGTACACCCAACAGCAGCAACTGCGTTGTTTGCACCCGCAGCAGCAGCATTCACAGCAGCAGCACGGGCAGCAGCAGCCGCAGCAACTGCAACACTAGCACAGCAGCAATCGCAACAGCACCAACAGCAGCAGCAGCTGCTGCCCCAACAAGCGTTGTTGTTGCTGGCAGCAGCGGCAGCAGCTTCTGCTGCATTCCCAGGCATGAGGACCAGCTGCTCCTGCAGCACTGCTGGGGGATTCCTGCCGGCATAGCTAGCTGGCCGCTAGCCGCCAGCTAACTAGCTAGCTGGCATCTGGCTACCAGCTGGCTAGCCAGTTAGCTAGCCAGCAGGCGGCCAGCTAGCTAGCTAGCTAGCTAGCCACCAGATAGCTAGCTGACAACCACTTCAGGTGCAGCGGAGCGAAGCTGCTGCTGCGCCGCAGTTTTGTTCAAATGTTTTTTTTGTGGTCTGGTTTAGATACATGTCAGTAGCTAGCTAGCCATCGAGCTAGCCACTCAGCCAGCCGTCTACCGCGCCAGCTAGCTAGCTAGCTAGTTACTCATCTAGCTACCCCTCTAGCTAGCCATCTACCTAGCCCCATGCCTGATTGGCTAGCCAGCTAGCTGGGGAGAAATCTAGCAAGTCACCCAGCTAGCCACCTGGCTAGCCACCTAGCTAGCTAGCTGGTCTTCCCTCTAGCTAGCCATCTAGCTAGCTAGCTGTGCACATCAACAGAGGCAGTTAGCCCTATATGCTCAACCGAGCAGCAAGGTTGACG